AGAAATAAACAAGCACAATCCAGAAAGTCATTCAATGATTTCCCTCAAAATTCTCATTTACATGTTATATATTATTTTTTGCCTTCCATAAATATTTGAAAGTCTTTAAAAAACGTACAAATTACAAAACAAATTTAATATTGTTTATTCTGATTGGCTTCTAAATAATCAGATATTTCAAGTTCTTTTTGTTCAAATCGATTTTTTATATCTATGAGTTTTTTATTATTGTTTGCGATATTCCCCTATTCAGCTTAATTGACTTAGTTTTAAGTTTACAGACCATTGTCGGGGATTCGCAGGATTAACACCATTGAATATCGCAAATCGTTGACTCCGCCACAAATTCGCAAGCCAGACACAAAGGAGCAGAACAAACAGCTCAGGCTGCTTTTATTTGGCCATTGCATGCGAAATGAGCTCTTGAAAGTTGCCCAAAGTGGCTATAGGACTTTAGCCGGGTTATAAATTATTTCATTTCAGTGCGATTTTGGGCCTGAGAAATCGACGCAATTAAAAATCAACAAAAGTTGCACAGAGCTCTCGAGCCCTGAAGGCGACCAATCAACAAAATGGAGAAAAGGACTGGCAGTTGGTAGGCTTGGGACAAAGAGAATTCTCGAAATGTCCAAAGGAATTTCTCAGCCCTCGCTCTCCAGGCTTCATTTTGAAAAGGCCTGCAGCTGGCAATTTCCAATTTAACAAATGACAAAAATTGTTGAGCAAATTGATTGCATTTCCAGGTTTTGAGGGAGGAGCACGGAAGCTAAGCAAATAGTTTTGGTGCAACCAGGTGGAGCGGGCAAAAGTGAGTGCGGCATAATCACACATCATTTGTCAAAGCCTCTCGTTTGCCAGTGAATGTGTATCCTGTTATTCCTTGCATTTAAACCGAAAACTTGGGAAAACAAGGGGGCTAAATGAGCGGGTGAATTCAGGAGGAGGATGTTTTCTGCATCGCACCTTACCACAAAATCCAGCCGAATTAATTTGTCAGAGGATCCTTGGGAAGGATGCTGGAAACAGTTCCAACTGAAAATTATAATGTGCCCGACTGCCTGCATCGACGACAGAGTGACGACAATGCGTCCAGACAGGCCATAAAAAGGACCTTCCTGCCTGCAGCAATAACTCAGCTGATAATCATAAAAAAAAGGAAGAAAGTGCGCAGTGGAGAAAATGGAAAGGCGGGGAAAACTAAGGCGAACCGCGGCCGGAGAAAGTCAATTTGTTAAGCTGCAGCCAGGATCGGAATCTGAGAAAAAAATGTCGGGAAAAGGACTCCGGCAGGACAAAGGAAAATGTGGAAAAGTGGGGCGCAGAATATGCTCCACTAAAACGGAAAAAAAGTCTTAGGAGACAACGTCTTGCGTGCACTTTAAAAATTCATTTGAATTTTTTCTGAAAATACTTATATTTGCATTAGGTATTCCGACTTGGTGTTTTTTTTTTTTTACATCCAATGATAAAGGATTAGTGGTGAAATTTTAATCCTTGTTAAATTGAGCTTAAAATATTTGATTGCATTAAATAAAATATTTTTTCTTTTCTTTCTGTGTGGAATAAAACTGAAGAAGGCTGTGGAACTTTCCCCTCACTTATTTTATTAGAATTAAATTGATTTCTTGTGGCGGCAAAAAGGAAAGGGCAAACTGCGGCGACGACAGGCGTTGGCTGGCATCAAAATTAATATAAAATGAAAAGTTTTGAAATTTATTACAAATTGAATTGATTTATGCAGCGCACAGCGTCGGCAAAAGGAAGGTGACAAAGTGAAAACTTTTCCTTGGGCCCGCAGTCGAGCAAATTAAATCGGAATGCCGGGGAATTTTATGCAGTCATCGCGTTAATCAGATAAAAAGGTTCAGCCTCCGAGTGCCGGCACATGAGTTCGTCCTGCGGCCCAAAAGTTATGCGACCTCACGCAGCACAGTCACCGCCATACGTTTATGGCCCGCCCCTTCGGACATGTGTGCATTACAGCAACAGTCAAAGGTAAATAACAGCAGCAGCGACAATAACAAACACAAGGCAGCGAAACGCTGGGAATGTTGCAGTTGTCCAGTTGCTTGCAATTAAAATAACACTTGTTAAAATATTTATTTTATGTGGGTGGAAAATCAGAGGGAATAAAATGTGCATAAATGTGTGTGCGTATGTGGAATATAAACGCTGAATATGCAGTTTGGAGTTTAAACCCTGGTTGATTTTGTACATTTTGGTATACCATTTAAAGGTTTTAATATAAATGAGTTAAAAATGGTTTTAAATTTAAGGAGTAAGCTATAGTTTTTTTTACACCTCTTCTAAACAAATAATAAGAGGGACTGAACTTTATTTCTTCTCGAAATCAAATTATTTTGTTTGAAAAAATGAGTTAAAGCTTGTATCGCTTTCACTAAAGCATATTAAGACCTTTTGAAATCCATTTAGTAAAAGTACAATCTGAATTGACAATATCTCCATATTCGCACGATTTTGCCATTGTGAAATTGCACTTTGTCAACTGTCCGCTTCCGCTTGTCACAAACATCCCTCAACAGTAATGATAAACCCAAACAGGACGGACTGAAAAAAGTATAACCGGAACTATGCGAAAAAAAGGCGGGAAAAACCATAGGTTTAATTGGCTGCACCAATGAAAAATTCAATAAAAGTTAATAAAATTGATTTCGTTTAAATAATTTGCTGGAAAATCCTTTGTGCATGACGCAATAGAGCATGACAGAATAATAATGAAATAATAGTAATGGACAACAAAGGGAATCTGAAATTCATTAAAATGCATTTGCTTTATTTGCTCACATTCTATCTTTCTCACAACTAAAACTGAACATGGCAAGTAGCAAAAAAGGTCACTTGGAAAGGTGAATCAAATGAATTTTGCTTAATTAATTGATTTTAAACATGCATAAAGCAATTTGCACTGTTTGCGTTTAGCTTTTGTGTGCATACCTTAAACGATTTTGGCATAACACCCAAATAATAGTTCTACCCACCTTCGCCGTGTGTCAACAAATGTTTCTGTTTAAAGTTTCCAACTCAATAAGGCAGAAGGATGCTTCAGTTTTTGGTCCGTTTGCTCGAGGGAGAACTTGGTCTCGACCGTGGCAAACAGGAAATGAATACCCCGTTGATGGAGCGAAATCGAGAAAGAGTGGAGAAAAAAAAGTATATTTCAAGCGGAAATATGTTCAATTTTAAAAATACCCCAAGAACAGGAACACAAACTTCAGCGCTTACATTGAATTCGATGCTGTTGAGTGACACATACACACAAAACTAGAAGGGAATAAAGATGTAAAGAAATATTGTCCGACTAAAAATATACCCTGTATAAAACTTATAAAAAAAAATTAAATTCCATTAAATTACACCAAATTGTACAAATTAAATAAATCAATTAAAGGTACAACTTTAAAGCTTAACACACGTTTTATTAAATTTGTAGTTTGATCATTAGAAAGTTAGCTTATATTTCTACTCATTTTAAATACAAATACGAACACATATGTGCTTTTCTTGCAGAGTATGACAAGAAATACCAGCAGGTAAAATCACCGGCTAAAATGGCGCAGTGGCGGCCAACAAAGCACAAAACAAACAGCAACAAAATACGGCCAAAACATGGAAGCCACCGAGAAATAAAAGAGCCTGGCCAAAACGCCGCACACGTACACGAAAAGATCCAGCGAACAGACCTCGAAAAGTTAACAAAAAAGCGGCAACAGACGGAGAACTCGAGGGATGGTGAGGCGAAGAGGGCCAGAGGAGCTGCCACTCTTGTTGGCCAAGTTGGCCATGACAGCGACCAGCCAAGTGGCGGCCATTGTGCGGCTGACTGCTCGGTTTGGATGACTGGACGATGTCCTTCGTCCTGCGGACGTTCACATGAACGCCATCGCCATGGCCAGCGGAGCATCCGGATCGGATCCTCTCATCTCTGATGGTCTGATGGCAATGGGAATGTCAATTGAATCATCTTCTCCGCCGTTGGAATGCTTACATTGCTTCTGCCAATTGAACCTCGGGAAAACTGCCACCGCTTTCAGAGCAGCGCAATTAGAATGCCACAGGTCAACACACGACTCGCTTTCAGTTAAATCCTTTCATTCAGGGAAATCACATTTTTATGACGAGACTATCTATAATCTAATTCATCTAGTTGAGTAATTTGACCTATTAAATAAGAAAAACTATTAATCAATTCAAGGCGGCCTGCAATATTAATTGCAATGCCTAATCTTATCAAAAAGCGGATTTTAAAAATAAATAATATTTATATCAGTTAAAATAAATAAATAAATATGTATCAGTTTTTAATGAACTGCTTTTAAACAGATTTTGGAATAGTATATAGAATTGTATGTGCTTCTTCCTGTGCCAAATATGAAAGGTGGATGATTTGCAGTGGAAAGGGGCCAAGTGTCAAGCGCAGCGCTGATTGTCATTCATTATGCAATCAATATTGATTGCTTCACGGCTCGCGGAAAATGTTGAAAAGTGACTTGCCAATTTTCACAACGCATCGCCCAAATGGGCGATGGCAAAAGGAGTTGCCGTTCAAGAGGGTATTGAAAAGAGTTTTCCCCTGGGAAAATCGAGTGGGGGAAGAGCTTCCATTTGGCAGCCAGCAAGGTAATGGTATTCCCCGCCGAAGTCAGACATTCTTCCTGGGTATCCCATGGATCGAAACAGAACCTATCCCTGTCCACGCGTTGATGCTTCCCTCACTGACATTTTTCATGCTGTGTCGCGTACGCTGATTGATGAATGAATAAACGAATCGGGGAATGAATGAGCCCCACCCGTCTGAGTTTTTCAACCGTAAAAATATGTCAAGTGGACAGGCGATGGAAGTTAACGCCCAAACAGAAGATCCAGCCTGCAAAATAAATGACTGTTCGGTTTTGGTTTTCTAATCAAATCACATGTGGTCAAAGTCGTAACCTGACAAAAAAGCTGGCTGGAAACATGCAGATACAAAGAAAAACTTAATGTGTTTTTTGTTTTAACATTTTTTTTAGCAGATGTGACCAATTGTCATGGCGACATTAAATTGAATTTTAAATGAAAGTTCGAGAAACATTAAACATTGGTCGGAGGTCCCCAATGTCCAGGGGGTCCTATAAGCCCTGGCATCCCCGGTGGTCCTTGTTCTCCTGGAAGTCCTTCCCGACCTGGCATACCCGGTGCTCCTGGCATACCAGGAAGTCCGTCAGGACCTTGCATCCCCCGCAGTCCTGGCTTACCAGGTGGTCCTCCCTATCTGGGTATGGCCCGGTGGTCCTCGTAGTCCTGGAATTCCTGGCAATCCCGGAGATCCCGGTGGCCCTGGGACTCCGTTGCGGCCTATTCGCTCAAACTCAAGCAGCTTTGAGTTCAACTCATCAATGTTACTATTTGTTTGAGTTTTAAAGAGCTCAAATTTTTCTTGAAGGTCCTGAAAATCCGATAACGTTTCAATATTATTTAGCGCAATTAATTATAAACTATAACATACCAAAGTTCCGTCAGCATCATTGCCCGGTGGTCCTCGTAGTCCTGGATTTCCTGGCAATCCTAAAGATCCCGGAGGTCCCGGTGGCCCTGGGACTCCGTTGCGGCCTATTCGCTCAAACTCAAGCAGCTTTGAGTTCAACTCATCAACTTTACTATTTGTTTGAGTTTTAAAGAGCTCAAATGCTTCTTGAAAGTCCTGAAAATCCGATAACGTTTCAATATTATTTAGCGCAATTAATTATAAACTATAACATACCAAAGTTCCGTCAGCATCATTGCCCGGTGGTCCTCGTCGTCCTGGATTTCCTGGCCATCCTGGAAGTCCCGGAGGTCCCGGTGGCCCTGGGACTCCGTTGCGGCCTATTCGCTCAAACTCAAGCAGCTTTGAGTTCAACTCATCAATTTTACTATTTGTTTGAGTTTTAAAGAGCTCAAATGCTTCTTGAAGGTCCTGAAAATCCGATAACGTTTCAATATTATTTAGCGCAATTAATTATAAACTATGACATACCAAAGTTCCGTGAGCCGCATTGCCCGGTGGTCCTCGTAGTCCTGGATTTCCTGGCCATCCTGGAAGTCCCGGAGGTCCCGGTGGCCCTGGGACTCCGTTGCGGCCTATTCGCTCAAACTCAAGCAGCTTTGAGTTCAACTCATCAATTTTACTATTTGTTTGAGTTTTAAAGAGCTCAAATGCTTCTTGAAGGTCCTGAAAATCCGATAACGTTTCAATATTATTTAGCGCAATTAATTATAAACTATGACATACCAAAGTTCCGTGAGCCGCATTTATCAAAAGGAGCCATGCGCTCAGCAGAAGCAAATACACTTTATACTTGATCATCTTCTGACAAAAATAAAGTCACTGAGCCCGAGGGCCCGCCATCGAATGAATTTATACTCGTTTACTTATAGAAAAAAAGGCCGTTTCTTATTACTTGCTGTAAATAAGTAAGACTCTGGGTTGTTTTCTGAGAATTCCTTATTTATTTATTTATTTTTTTTTTTTTCTTAGAGATTGCTGACTTTACAGTTGAGTATACCGCTATTTAATTAACAATAAATGTTAATAACTACTTTAAAAAAGACAAGATCTCAAAAGCAGTGAGTCTTTTATAGGTTTAAAATTAATGCGTTGTGCTCTGTGTAGTTGGGTGTCAGATTTAAATGCACTTGGGAATACACAGCCGTTCGAAGCTCACGGGGAAGTGGATACATGATGTGGGTGGGTGGGCGTTATTTACATTGACAGCTGACAAGACACCGCTACACAACACAATGCCAGACCGCAGCCGTCTTGGCCAGACAGAAACTTGAGCCTTTACATGGGTCGAGGTCCCCGGTGAATTAACGCCTAATTGAATTAATCCTGCGCCTAGGAGGTGGCCTAAATGATTATACCACACGATTAAGGGTTGAAATTTCTGGTGAACAATAAAATTGAATAAGTCACTTTTTTATTATTTAATAAAATTTCGCAGTCTAAGATGATACATTATATGTGAACCGAGAGTTTGACCAGGCTAAGATGCTTCCTGCTACTGCTGCTGTTGAAAAACTTTTTCTCCAGCTTGAAATTACCCTGCTGTCCTTGCCTTTCAAGTGTATACTTTGTTCTGACTTCTAGCTTATCGCTGCATTTTTGCACTGAGAAAATATGTTAGTCATATAATTAATTCTATATGAGTTGCATTTATTTCAAATATATTTTAAAACAGTGAAGATTATTAATTTAGTTTTCTTTCTAACACAAAAATGATAATTTTGATTTGAAATGTAATAGTTTGATTTAGTTTTAATAATATATTCAATAATTTTTTCTGAATGTAAACAGTCACGTTTCCATTCGTTTCCGTCTGTCGTGTCTTCTTGTCCTTTGAGTGCATTAATACGCTTGCATAATACTTTAATGTCGGAGCTTGTCCCCCTTTTCCAAAACCCCTTTTTTCCATTCCCCGCTTTCCAGCTGACAAACGGAAAAGCTGCTGCCGCTGCCGCTGCTGCTGCTGATGATGATTCTAGCTGGCAGAGCTGGAAAAACTTTTGCCGGGCTGCAGGAAGTGCAAGAAAATTAAGAAAATACTCATCGTTCTCAGTTTCGGTGCGCTCAGTTCGCTTCTCAGTGCGATGGCCAGGCTATTTACGACAGTGAGCATTGAAATTATACGCCCGCCGAGCACTGCTCCACTTGGCCAAAGTAAAAGTCAACATCCAAAGCGGGTCTAAGCCAAAAGGAGAGTGTCCAAAAGAAATTTCAAGTGTTGTAAAATGGCAACATGGATTGTTGAACAATTTTCCGGATAGTGTGTGTGTGTGTGTGTGGCTGTTTGTGTGTGTGCGTTAGTGGCTGTGCACCAAAAAAGTTTGGCCCACACACAAATGGCCAAATGCAAACTTTGCCATAAGCAGCGAAGCGATCCAGAAGAGTTCTTGAGATATGAGCACAATTAAAACTTGCCGCAAAAGGCCAGTTGGCGTTGGCGTTTCTGGGATATCTTAAAAGTGCCAGCTTTGAGTGATAAGCCGTGGCGAAAAGCGGAGGAAATGGAATATAGTTTGGACGACACCACAAATCGATTTTAGCTCTAAAGTTGCCCAGGGTATTTTTATTAAATTAGGAGTGCACAATCTTTATCTTTAAATTTCCAAATTTTTACCTTTTTGTTACTTGTAAGTATGTATATATAGCTGCATATAGTTTTATTTAACTTATAAGTTCAAGATTTTTCAATCCAGCATACCTCAGAAAATATATTTAATGAAAATGAAATGAATGGTAACATACCCTAAAGTAATTACTTCTAAAATCGGTTCAAATTCTCGAAAGTTTCCGCCCTGAAACTCACACTCTGCGGTCAAATCAAAACTTTTGAAAAGGGGCAAGGCAAACAAAAAGAACTGACGAAATCATGGCCATAAACAGAATCAATGAGCAGTAAAGCGGCAATAGATTTGAGTTATGGTTATTAATAATGCTGTGTGAACTGCCCTCCGGGCAAAGGACGAGATAACCTCGGAAACGAGACAGGATTCGGTACATGCGGCAATGCAGACTTGTCTGGGTCCAAAAGCACAATATAATATGAGGGGAGATTCCTGGCCGGCGATGGTTGGAAATACATATTTTGGGTATGGGGCTGGAGCTTCGGCTGTGTGTTGGCCGGTCAAACAACAACGGGCAATGAACAAGAGTTAAGCTGGCTGGCATCCTTCACAAAACATTGCATCGTGTGAATCCAATATAGGAGAGCAAATCCCCCTCCAGCGCCGCCTCTGCCGCTCTCTGCTGCCGGAAATGCCTTTTGTCTGGGGCTTCATAATATTTTGCTCGTTACTTTTTAATATGACTCACAACAACATCCGAGCTCACAGACAGGCGTTCAGACTGGTGGGGCTTAGCAGAAGGTAGGAAAGGACGCCAGGACACCACAAACACTCACTCACAGTCGGACATATTATCTCTCCACCGAGCGAGACAATGCTAAAATCTATCTAGAAGTGAAAATTTTATTACCGCTTTCCGAGAGGAGGGGTCGCCGTAATCAGTGCATGTCCTTGTCAGAATGTCGGAGGATTACTCATAAAACTGCGATATCTTTTGTCACCTTTTCGGGGTTGAACTTCAAGGGGGCTTCTTCTGGGCGACTCCCCCTCTTGACCGACATAAAGCTCATCCATTAGCATTTATTGCTTATGATAAGCTGCTCTCTGCTCCCAGCGCCCTTTTCCCAGCTTTCCACCAAAAATTGTTCATAAATTCAAGTTGGTTTGCATCTAATGCTGCCTCGTTGCCTCCACAGCTGGCAATTGTTTATTCCCCTCGATGATATTTACGCTTACTCAACGAAACGGGAAAGAAATCTGGGAATCAGCATAAATATTATTACAAAATGCTTGACCGCACTTCTAAGTGCACAGCCAACTGGGCCACATTTGCTGAGCTCTGCACTGAAATGCTTATTCATCGTGCATGTTTTCTTACAAATACCCGGTACTTTTAAAGAAGGAAGAGTTTATTGTGTTTGTCGGTAAGTAAAATACATTCTGCAGCGTGATATGGTTTTCTGCTCAAAATAAAAAAAAATTACCCAATTAAACCGGAATTTTGTTTTAAACATCTGTAATCAAAAATATATTTATACGAATGAACTACAGGGTACTTAGTTATCGGATACTCACAAGTTCCACAAATTGTTTTCTTAGTTTTTACCGATGTCACAAAGCTTCAATCACACCTGTCGTTTTTCTACCTAGATGAAGTCAAGTCGCAAATATATGAAAATCAAAAAAATTTATTTCCCTCTGAACCCTTCAGCTGCCAAAAAAACATTTCGGGAAACTACATAAAAAGCATACCTTTCTTAAGATAGCTTAAAGCTCATTTATACTTTGTTCAACTTACCTGGCTTAAACCATTGAGCAAGGAATTTCTTTTTCCAGTGCATCACTTGCTTGTTTTTCTAGCCAAGTTACAAGTGCTGATTATGGCCACAAGGAAAGGGGGAATCTTGGACTTCGCCTGCATTCAGCTCGTTTGCGTTTTTCTAATTTTAGTTAAAGTGTTTCGCTACCCCGCTTTGCGTTCCCTTTGCCTTAATTTTTAAATTGCCAAGCGGAGTTTTAGCCTGGCCTCCTTTCGGTTGTTAGCGCGCCAAGTGAAAGTTGCCATTTCTGTTAGCGCCCCGCACTTGAGTGTTATGGGACTGCTTAAGATTTAGAAATTATGATTGGCGCGTGGAGAAACCAAAGCACCTTTTTTAGTTCAAAGGAAAGGGATTGCGTAGAGGACCCGCAATAATGGTTTTTTTAATCGCTCTTTAGGTAACTAAAAAAATTTGCTACCGATCGGAAGTGCTTTACAGGAATAATAGCAATCCGTAGATAAAACCCCCTGATATTTAAACAAGTTTGTATCTTCTTCATCAAGGGACAGTTACTGCGTTGCAAACCAAATAAATCCATTAGCTAACCGAAACTAAAGCCAGGGGAAAGTATCTCCGGCTGGCCCGCCTCTTCCTGCTACAGTAAATAAAACAAAAAGAGTTAGGATCCACTTGGCCAGACACTCCCATGCGCATAAATTTCAATAGCAAATCCATAGATGGCCATGGTACTCTCGCAGCCAGCGGAAATTGTTGAGATTTATGGCGACGGGGTTGCAAAAGGCTGCGCCATATTTATTTGAAAGTAAGTTGCATACAGCCGGCTTTTCGGAGGACCTGCCTACTACTAAATCGGAGGAGCGGAGCGGTTCAGTTTTCAGTTGTGGCTAAAAACCCCAAAAGGATATTACATATCCTGTTCCTAGTCGTGTAAATGCCATTATAGATTGACTGTTTGCTCGGGGTCGAGAGTTGCGATTGCCTTTTTCCCCGTTTGATTTACGTTTTCCTTGCATCCGCATCCATTTTGTTGTGCTCAGGCTCGCATTTTCGCCGGATCGAAGGACTTGTAGTTTGGATACCCTAGCTTCAGTTCGAAATCTTTGTGGCTTAGCATGGAAATTAAAATATAAACATTTAAGTCACGAGGGACGCTTTGGTTTCTATTGAATGTATATTTTCTTATTTTTAAAGGTGTTTAAAATCATTTTTTTTATGATTGATTGTTGCATAACTTAGTATAATGCATAACCTCACCTGTTTAAGACCGATTTAAGAAATATTTTTGAGATCCAGCTGCAATAAACTGTCTTGATTTTGGACACAGGATCCAAGGATATTAGAAATTCACCAAAACTTTTGGATTGTATTTCCTGTTTCGTCCATTGTTTCCGAGCTCTTGGCCTTGGTCTTGATCTCGGACGCCTTCCCCCTCGACTTCCTTCTCCCTGGCCAGTGAGTTATGTATTGGAGTGCAAAATATGAGGCTATTAGAGGCTTAAAGTCCTTGGCTCATACGTGCAAGCTGCGCTTTTTCACACACTAGCTCTGCCATTCCCGCTAAACACGTTCGAGGTCCGGACAAGAGCATCATCATCATTATTATCCAACAGCTCATGACTGCGGCCATTACGGGGAAAGGAAAGGAACAGAAGTAAAAGGAGTGGAAGGAGAGGAAAGGAAAGGAGCAGCTGGAGCTGAAAGCGAAAGGCGTTCGCGTCCCAGTGTCCTGGGGAGCAGGTCCTCCTCCTTCGATTCTCCGTCTCAAGTGACTATTCACAGTTGAAGATTTATTGAATGTGCGCGATGCTGCCAGTCCGCCTTTCCCATCGCCACCGCCACGGATTCTCTGGTTCTGGTTGTGGTGTCTGCGACTGAAAGTTGGTTCTGTCTGCTCTTTGGCATTGGTATTGAGTGTTTATTTATTTTCAAGCATCATAAAAAATACACAGGCATACACAGAGCCAGACAGAGAACCACGGCCAAAACCAGAGCCACAAACAAGACTCAGATACAAAGAGGTTCCCATTTATGGTTTCGCCTGGAAAATTCACACATTTACTGTCTGAACTTCGGGAAACGGAAAAATGGTTAGTTGGAAATCAGGTAATTTATACAGTATTTTAGTTATTGATTATTAAAAAATATCTACTATTAATTTGTAGTTCATAAATAGTTAAATAAAAGTAATTTTAAATAAAAAATTGTATAAAACTGGTAACTTAAAAAACTATAAACTTTTATTAATATTCTCCCATTTTTTTAGGTCTGCAAATATTCTTGTAATCTAAAATAATTTCAAATTTCGAATGTGTAAGTTGGAATGAAGAACTCGACAGACAGAAGGGAAGGACATTCAATAATTTTGTTCGCATTCGAGTGGCAGAAACAGCTGCAATTTTTACGCCATTTTATGCTGCCAAACCAAAGTGTAATTTGTGGCCTGGGAACTTTGTCTATTGCCTCGGTGTGGAGAGTCCTTTGCCTCATTCCCCCCTCCGAAAATAGCACTCTGCGATGTTGTTTTTGTCGCTGTTAAATGAAGCATTCGCTGCCGGAGTTGAAGATGTTTGCAATTTTTATTTCATTTGCCGGTCAATGAACATTGAAAATGTGTTAAGTGGCGCCCACTCCAACATCATCAACTTGTCTTTAATTGTCTACAAGTTGTCGGAATGGCTTTTAATGAAGTGTTAAACGATACTCCAGCTTTCCTGTGCCCTCCTGCAGAGTCCATGGTTCCTGGCTTATTATTTGGCACAGCCTAAAATATTAATTTCAACTCGGACAGCTGGCACTTTCCCAGCTCGAATTGAATAATTCCCTGCCGTTTCTTAGACTGTCGACAAGGCTAATTACCATCGATGATTCTCTGGGAATATTGAGTGAAGGAAACGTAAGCCGCTTAAAGAATGTATGGTTTTGGCCTTTGACATTTGGCAATTTATGGTTTCGATGAATGATTAATTTTGAAGCTTTTATGGCATTAATATATGTTAACAATCACGGTTGGATCGTTATTATTTTGAAAAATCTTTTGATATTTCTAAAGATACACAAATAAGGATTTGTTATTAAAAAACTATTTAAGACTCTTCGATTTAAATTTACAAATTAGTCTTGGATCCTTAAACTGCAAATATATATTAAATACATATTTTAGGCTATCTGAGAAATTTGGATTGAGAAAAGGACTTCCATTTTAGACAGCTTCAAGACAGCGAACAGAAAGTGCCAGCTCAGCTTGGTGCATTTCGAAATTGAGCCACTCCCAGTAGATGTGTGCTTCCCAGTATCTTTGCTTTTCAATCCGAGTTCCTTCTGAGTCGTCTGTCACATAATATGGACAATCACTAACCACGCAAGTGTCAAACAAACAAAACGAGCCCAAGGCCTTCTTCATTCCACTAACTCCCCATTTTGCCGCCCAATGCCACCACATTTACCCCGCAATCTGCAGGGGGCTTCGAAAATTTGCAAGGAAATCCTATTTTCGTATAAGAAGAGCACACACTCAAACGGTCGGAGACAAACCAGGCCAAAAAGAAAGCGAACGAACCACATTTGAGTGCTGCGGGCGTTTCGATGATTCTCCTTCTTTTTTTTTTTTTGTGGGTCGTATACTCGTGCACACATCAATCTCGTTCCAACTTTGCCCAGATACGAATCTTTCATTTTCGTATTTCCGTTCGAAATTTCGTGTAACTGAACTGGAACTTTAGAAAAAGAGAGGGCACAGAAAGGAATTTTACTACCAGCAGACAGATACGGGTGGCTGATAGAGTTGGAGTTGGAGTTGCATGCTGCTTGCTCTACGATGCCGCATGGCAAAGTCCGCAAAGCCCAAAATGTGGTTTAATTTAAGGGATCGACCGGGAAAATAACTTCTCAACTAAGATATAGGAAAAATCAGATAAAACGATACTTACTTCTTTTATTTATTGAGAGGAAAACCAAAAAACTTTACCTCAAATTTTATTGATTTTCTTAATAAGCGGAAAAATCATAATAAAAATTATTGTATTTGTAAATTTCATTTATTTATTTTTTTTATCGCATTAAATACATTTTTTAGAAATGCCAATATAAATGCCAATCCATAATACCCCATTATTTTAAGCCACTGGGTGTGCAAAGTGGGCATCATTCACATCGTCTGATTGCCCTGGCTGGTATCAAATTTAAATTTCTTCATTTGCCTTTCGGTTCGTGTGCAAGTTCAAGTTTTTTTGTCTGTTCTTCGTCTGACTCCTTTTTCCCTGCAGAGCGAACATTCAGGTCATGTGCGACCAAAAGTAAGTGGATGCGTTCTTATCAGAGCATACAAATGTTTTATCTCGCTTGGCGCGTGTGCAGGCCGAGATACACAAGAAGAAAATTGTTAGCCATTTGCTGAACAAGATATTTGTCAAAAAATTGTCTGGATTTTTTAAGATTAATGTCCTTTCAAGTAATCTAATTTAATTTAAAAACTTTAAAGGTGGATTTTTGTGACACCAAGGTAGTTATGTGGTTGACAAGTTCCTTTTAGAAAAACTTCATTTAAAATAAAATACTTTTTTTAGTGTACGAACGGAAGCAGGACAAAGACGAGGCTTGAAAGTCGCCTGCGGTTGCGCGCTCTTTCTTCTTTTGTGTTGGTGAGTGTTTTGTTTTGCCAATTGTCGGAAGTGCCTGTGGGGGAGGGGTAAAAGTCTCACACACACACACACAGAGAGAACCGCTCGCTAATACCAACACCAGCACACATGCATAGCCAGTTAGACACTTTCTTTTTGCTACTTGAGCTTCCGTTTCCGCTCGCCTGACCCGCTCCATTCCGTCTGCCTCACTTACTTATGCATAGCATATAACCTTAAACATAATTTTGTTTGCCTTTTGTGTTCTTGTTGTGTCCCCTCGTGCAATTCTATTTGCCGCTTCCCTTCAAAACCATTTTCCTATCTTTGTTTGCTTATATTTTTTCTATCAAGCGCTAAATTTTATCTTCTTGACTCGTGCCATGAAAAACTGAAAACCTTAAAGCTCCATCAAGTTGAATTCTTTAATTTCTGGAAGCTTCTCTGGCCGCCGTTCTACCAATTGTGGGGTAACAATTCAAGTGTCAAAGTTTGCACTTGAAATTATAATGGTCGGGCCCCACAGCTCATTGGCCTGCTGGCCATAACAAAGGAATGTTGGTTAGAATCCGGCCCATAACACATCCCACCCATTGCCACCAAGTTGGAACCCGGGGTCAAACATTCGCACAATGTCAGTCGGGTCCGGTTTTGTGAGGCATATAAAAACAACAAAAAAAAAAAAAACTTTGAATGAAACGCAAGCCCCATTGACATATGAGTGGGCGTGGCACTCTGGGTGGCAAAGCTCCCGAACTGCTGAGGAAATGGCAAATGCATGCAGCCACACGATATGAGCTATTCGTATTCCCCCACTCGATCCGCCAGCGTTCAGTGCCCACAAACCCCCACTGAATCCATCTCTGTGCGTTGATTGTTCGATTCAAACATTTTGGCATGTTTCGGGCAGTTGAACTAGTTTTCGCTTTTGCCCCATCCAACTCGCCACAGTGGAGCCAAAAGAGGATAATTATGCAGAAACTAGATAAGTAAAAGTTGTTGGTTTGGGCTCTACAAAAATTTGACACAATTTAAAGCACATTTGGCTTTTAACAATTCTTTTCGGAATATAATTTTAATATAATATAATATATTTTAAAATTATAATGGAAACAGTTGATGTGTTTGTGGATAATTAATAAGTACGAACAATAATTATTTTACGGTTTTAAAAGTTTCTCAAAATCAATTTAATTTAGTTACAGGTAATAGAAGTTTTTCCCAGTACAATATTTCTTTTTAAAAAACTTGTTGGTAGTTCTGAATAATAAATTCTTATGTATAAATATAATTTCTATTTTATTATTCATTATATCTCTACAATTAGTGCATTCAGCTACACTGTTCAGTTGTCGCCCTGCTGAGGCTGAAATGTGTTAAATCCGCTATAAAAGCGGTTAACCGAGTAAACTGCAAATGCAAAATGCGGTTGGTTCACTTCGGTTCAGCTGGCTTGGCCTGTTACTGCTCCTGGTCCTGGTCCTGGTTGTAGTCCTGTTCCTGTTTCTGTTTCTGTTTCTGGTCCTCCTCCCTGACCATATTAAAGGCCATACCAAAGTGTTGATGGGTCAGTTTTGACCACATGCTGTGTTGTGTTGGCAATGCAGAAATCATTTTTGTGCATTTCATGATATTTCATTCTAGTAGTGGCACTTAGTAGGCCATCAGATCTTCATCAAAGAGTTCACAATCGAAGGCACACAAAAATAGCACACCCGAAACTTGTTCAAATAAAATTCTAGGAAATAAATAAGAAAAAGAATGGACTCAGAAGAACATGAGGAGGTTTGTTGAGAGAATATTATTTAAGCTTTGTGTTTTAATTAATCATTTTAGGAATACACAGAGGACGAAACGAGCGAGGCCATGTTCTTTCTTCGGGAGCATGAATTGCCAATGTCGGAGCTACTTTATGCCCTCAAGTATGTAAGGATCTTGCATGGATCTCGATCTCAAGCCAATCAGCCAGTGGTCACCCCGATGCCCCAGGTGCCGATTGTGGAGGTGGAACCACCAGCATTCGACTGGGAGGACAAGGAGAATCAACCTGTTGTCCGGCAGCCTTGAGGGTTTTAACTACTTTATAAGTTGTAACTGATTTTTGTTTACGGCCTTTAGACAGATAAAATTCTTAAAAGGAAAAAGACCATCTATTGTTTATTATTTGTCACACAGGCATTCAATTGAACTAGTTTAAAAATTTCAAATATGTTAATTGTAGTATCCTTTATAATTCTCTTAATTTTATAAACTGGCTGATTTTATTCATATTGTGCTCATAGTGCGCCTTATCGCCCAACTTTTGTTTGTCAACATCTTTGCATTCAACACTGCCGAGTTGCGTTGCATTTCCTGGCAATTCGCGTCGCGTTGGACAATTTTTAATTGTCAAACGCAGTCGGGTGACAAATGAAGGCAAAGGAGTTGCACCGGAGAAGCCTTAATGACAGCTGATAATTTATTCAGCGAGTGCAACAGCTGAGCGACGGGCACGAATTGTTTTCCAGGAGCCATGAAATATTTACGCGGGATAAAGGAGCAGCCGAAGGAAGCTGTGCAGGACATGTCCTGCGCTTCTGCAAACCGGCGCTCCTGAGATGAAATACATCCGCTTGTCATTGTCAGGAGCGAGTGTCCAGATCTGCTGTAAAATGCAAATGAATTCCCGGCAATTTCCACCCTCGCCGGGAGACTTGCATTTAATTAGGCATTAATACGGTCGGAATTTGGGGTGCGTTTTCGGCAATTCCGGCACTCTGCGGTTAAGTGAAAGTTGAGCTTTCGTTTAAGCCGCCTAATCCGCGACTAAGTTTAATGTCTCAACGCGAAACGCTCAATTTGCATTTTGCAATTTCATCCTGTCGGATTCCCTGTTCTTCTGGGGGGTTTTTCCTCTTCTGTTTTGCCGCGTTTTGCAACCCTCGCAAACCAGTGAAAAATTTATTGTTTCAAACGGATTTTGCTGCGCCCCAAATTCGATTACTGGTAATTGCCTATTACCAACCTCCGCTTGGGAAGGGGGACGGCACAAAAGCCTGGCTTAATTGAATTAAAGGGCGTTGCAAATCTCAAAAGTAGCGGGCGCCGTGTTCATTGATGAAGCTTTTTAAGCCGTAAACTGATTAATCGCTTGAATTCCGGTTATGGGATGAATCGATTCGGGGTTGTTAATATTAAAGCGAATAATTGCGCTTGTATTCGGAAGGAGATTATTTCAGACAGCTTAATATAACGTTAATCTATACTACCAATTTAAAAAAAAAAGTCAGACTTATTTTTTTATTTAAATGGTATAAAATAATTTTTAAAGTGTTCAATATAAAAAATGTTATTATCATATTTAAAAATGTATTTCACTACGATTGTTTATGTATAGTTAACGAACCATTTAATTTATGGTTGTACAAAAAGTCTAATATAATTTGAATTTAATTAATTCAAAAAATCTTTATTACGCTACTAGCAAAAGCCAAAATTAAATTGCTAATCTCGACGCAATCTCGTCTGGAGTTCAAATTACGAGCTATTGTATGAGAACCGCAGACATGTAATAACAAACACACGAAACTCAATGCTCATTTTGACCCCAGAGAAGCCTTCACCCGCCGCCCACTTTTTGGGGGGAACGAGCGGCCATTTGATGGGTTTATTATTGGGTAAATAAATTAAAATTGTTTACCTTTCAGCGGCGCCAAACTTCGGTAGGCAAAAGCGAGACAGCGATACGCAGCTATCTCTTTCTGTGTTTATTTGTTGTTCTTCTTCTGTTAGCGAGCAAGCGAGTATGTTTGTGTTTTTTTGTTGTTTTTTTTTTATTGTTTATGCCCAGTTCAATTGTGGTTACGTGAGAACGCGTATGTTGCGGCAACTTTATTTGCGCAAATTAATGGATAAATGTTCACGCACATGATAATGGAAAAGGACGACAGCGAAATGGGTGGCCATCAGCATATGAAAATAAATAGAATTATCCGAAATTTATAACACCGAATGAAAATACCGTGGGAATTTTCCATTTGTATAGTTTTGCACGCCGAATTGGCTCGTTGTTTGCTTTAAATTAGTTTGAAAAAATACGAAAAATATGAAAAGCAATTAGAGTTTCGCTTTTCGAATCTTGGAATTTTCATTTTCCTTACTGAAAATATAACTATTGAGGAAAGGCAGCTATATATTATACATATGTGTAGGAACGATAGCAGAAGGCAAACAGTTGCGTAAACTTCGCCAACTTTGGATATGCGAGTGGGCAACTCTCAAACTGAGTGATTTTCACTCCTGACCACCCCTTTTCCTGAAGTCCAATCAAACAGTGAACTTTTTCAAGTTCTTGGCACTTTTTCCCCTCTATTGATTTTGCTTTCGAATCAAGTTTTTGTTGAATGATGCAGAGTGAGCTTTGATTGAAATAGTTCAGATTGTTTTGATAGTCATGCATACGAAAATAAATATTTTGAGGCTTCTCGAAACTTAACACCTAAGCAATATAAAAGTTTGTCTATTTCACCGTTTATTTTTAAGGCAAAGGAAATGTGAATTGGTTGAGCCTAAAAAACACAACAAATAAGTTTGTTATTTTATATACTTTTCACATCTCAAAAAAGTAACATTTGTATGGTTTATTAGTTAATTTTTTAAGTTTTTAAATTTACTTTATCAAAAAGTTATGGTTTTGGACAAGCTAACTTTTCCTGAAAACTCACACCTTGACGCTTTAGTATCCTTTTTCCATTTGCATTGCCTGAATCTCAACTATGCCACTCCACCTAAAGTTTTCTTTCTGCAAGTGAAACTTTAGCGATATCCAAACGAAAGTCTTTGTTTTTTTTTTTTTTTTTTTGACTAACAGTGTTACGAAGAGTACTATCGAATCTGGTAATATAAATTTACTACAATATTAAATAAGTTAATATTTTCATTTTATCATTTGTAAATATAGGAAGAACTTATTGCTTTCAAGATCTTCTTTTATTAATAAATTTTCGGATACTTTTTCAATTAAACTACAAGCAAACGAAAATACTCATAATAAAATATATCTCTTAATAACATTTTTTTTTTTTTTAATTTTAGAGGGGTTCCTACAACCTCTTTATGTTACAGAATGTGCATCGTACCGAAGGGTAGTTAAACCCGAATTCAAGTACCTTATCACCTGCCAACACTGCAGCGCAAGTGCCATAAATGTCAATAGACCAGAAACCATTATGCATAATAATACCGCTACTCGAAGTCGCTAGAGCGCTGCAGCTGCTGAATCCAAAGGGGGGATTCCAAACCCCCTAAAACCCCTAAGTCCCCTCAACCACCAGAACCCCTGGCCTTTGTCCGATGTCAGCATTGTCTGTTCCTGTTCCTCGACTTCTGTTCGCATGCTAAACAATATTTCTCCATTACGAAACAATGGGACGAGTCGCCTGTCCCCGACAAGTAGCACCTTTTACTTGTGGCATCAGTTAAAAGTTTTGCTTTTTATGTTAGCGCGTTGCAGTGGCAAGTTCCCTTCCCTTCCATCCACCGTTTCCCCGCCCGCCAGGTTGCCTGCAACTATCTCAAGTCGTTGCGGCAACTTTTGTTGCCTACTTTTGTGGATCTTCCTTTCTCTCCATGTGGCAAGTTTTTGCTTTCGCTTATTGTCCGGCGTGGAAAAAAGTTTGGTTTTGTTGCTAAATTGAATGCGACTTGCGTTTTCTTTAGCGCCGTTGTGTCCTCCTGTCCAACGTCGTGCTGGCGTCCTGCTAAAAGTCCTTGAAGGTGCAAATTGTAAAACAAACAGTGAAACGAGACCTTCCCAAACAGAGGTGGGGTGGTAAAGTTGACAGATAAAGTATTGCCAGGGACTACAGGTCTTTAAGAAGAATTAAGCTTATAGCTTAAGGTGTTTGCTAATCATTCAGTGACTTTAAAAAGCACTCGGATTTTAAGCCACCACATATTTAGTAACTCGCCATCTTGGCTAAAAAAAAAATTGCATTCTTTACTGTTGGCAAAAAAATTAAAATTAGTCTTACCTCTTATGTAATCTAACATTCTGGTTTCGCTTAAACTGCAAAGCTAATAAATTTATTTACCCACTACTACGATTTTGAGGATAACGCATACACTTTAAATTAATGCAAAAATGCATTTCCATAAATATTCTCTACATTGATTGATAGTTAAACCCCTTTTGAAGACCCTACGGCTTCGTCTTCAGTTTGTAACATTTATTTAATTTTATTAGAGTATCAATAGTCCCAAATGAAACACTCGTGTGAAAACCTAATTATTGCTTCAAGATAAGAGTTAATGTAATAATAAAACAATATAATCTAATATAGATTCTAAAGTGTGACAATTTGCAGGTATAAATACGAGACAGATTGAATATTGGCACAATAATGAAGTCGACGCTGTTGCTATTAATAGTCATTCTCAGCCTGGTGGGATTGGCACCAGCTAAGCCACTAAGTCCAAGAACTTATACTTGTACTGTCGCCTGCGACTAATGGGGCTGATAAAAGGAGTTTAATAAAAATAATATATTTGCCAAGAAATACACTTGTGAAACTTTGTTGAAATTTTTTTACTATAACTTCTAAGATTGCACCAAATTTGTTGTCTTTTTTTCCTTAAACAAGCTTTAAGCCAAGGAAAATTCTATCGCAAAGATCTAGAGAATTGTGACACTTAATATAAAATAAACAATCTAAAAAGTTGTTCATTAGAAACAATAAAAAAAGAGAAAAAACCAAGTATCATTTATTGTTTTATTATTTTGTTCACCTTAAAAACCCATTTTGTAACTTTATCATCATTTTAACGTTTTAAATACCGTAATCAAATAAAACAACAATTTTACAAGGTTTTTATTCGGTGACAGAAAGTCGCTAAACGTATTTCAGCATATCGCATACCCTTTAAATTAATCCAGAAATGTATTTACATAAATATTATTTGATGGGTACTTAAACCCCTTTCCAAGCCCCTACGGATTGGTCTTCACTTTTAAAGTTGTAACATTTATTTAATTTTACAGAGTATCTAAAAGTGCCAAATGAAATACTCGTGTGAAAAGCTTCTTATTGCTTCAAGCTAGGAGTTAATGTAATAATAAAATAATATAATCTAATATAGTTTTTTAACTGTGACAAACCAATAATTTTCAGGTATAAATACGAGACAGATTGAATATTGGCACAATAATGAAGTCGACGCTGTTGCTATTAATAGTCATTCTCAGCCTGGTGGGATTGGCCCCAGCTAAGCCACCAAAAAAGAAGAATTTCGAGATTTGGGTACGACCAGGTCCAGGGGAACCACCAATGTGTCAATATGGCTGCCAATATGGCTGATAAAAGGAGTTTTATAAAAATAATATATTTGCCAAGAAATAAACTTGTGAAACTTTGTTGAAATTTTTTTTATTATTTTAACTTTAGCATCTGAGTTGAAGAAGACTTTGTCTTGGTTTCGCTCGAACTGCATTGCTAATAAATTTATTTGCCTACTAACTTCTAAGATTGCTCCAAATTTGTTGTCTTTTTTCCTTAAGATCTTGAGAATTGTGACACTTAATTCAAAATAAACAATCTACAAAGTTGTTCATTAGAAATAATACAAAAAAGATCAAAAAACCAAGGGTCATTTATTGTTGTATTATTTTTTCACCTTAAAAACCCATTTAGTAACTTTATAATCCTTAATATGGTTTTTAACGGCTTAAATACCGTAATCAAATAAACAACAATTTTAAAAGGTTTTCATTCGGTGACAGAAAGTCGCTAAACGTATTTTCAGCATATCGCATACCCTTTAAAGTAATGCCAAAATGTATTTGCAAAAAAATTCTCTAGATTGATGGGTAGTTAAACCCGCTTCCAAGCCCCTACGGAATCGCCTTCACTTTTAATGTTATATGGCCTTCAAAAATATTAAATATTGAAAGTTGTAACATTTATTTTTAATTTTATAAGAGTATCTAATAGTCCCAAATGAAATACTCGTGTGAAATCCTAATTATTCCTACAAGATAAGAGTTAATGTAATAATAAAATAAAATAATCTTGTATATTTTCTTAAGTGTGACAAACCAACAATTTGCAGGTATAAATACGAGACAGATTCATTATCATCATTAGCACAATAATGAAGTCGACGCTGTTGCTATTAATCGTCCTTCTCAGCCTGGTGGGATTGGCCCCAGCTAAGCCACCAAAAAAGAAGAATTTCGAGGTTTGGGTACGACCAGCTCCAGGGGAGCCATTCAGTTGTCAAGCTGGCTGCTCATCATGGGGCAAATAAAAGGAGTTTTATATAAATAACATATTTGCTAAAAAATACACTTGAGAAAATTTGTTGAATTTTTTTTTACTATTTTAACTTCAGCATCGGAGTTGATAAAGACACGTCAGTCAAGCAGAGTCTAGTGTCTAAGTCTTAAAATGTTCTTAATGAAACTTAACCAAATTATTTTAAGTTATATCAAGTTTTTATTGTGAATTTGCGGAGTTATGTTGCCATTTTCAATAAAATTGTGGAAGTGTTATCTACTGATATAATAAACAAGCTATTGAGTAAAATATTACAACCTAAGGAGTCTTGAAAACACAGCTGGTCATTTTTATAATTTCTAGTTTCATATAGCTGATATATTGTACATTTTATAGTTATACTTTCCTAACTTTATATTTTAAGATAATGAGACTCTTTTTCATAGCATTACTACCATAATTGACAAGATATCCTAATATCTTTTTTGTAACTCAAAATTGTAACAAATTGAAAATTTGAATTTCAAATATCGACCTATCGCGACCAGCAATCCAAATCGGTCAGGCGAGGAGCAATCGCATTTGATCATTTTGGTTTTCAGTTTTCAAAGCATTTTAGTTGCCAATTACTCTGGTCAGAGCGTATAAATCGCAGTCATTACATTTAACGGCTTAATTCTGACACAGCCATAAACCAACAATAATGACCGTGACTAAACATCCGACAACCAACACAGACAAACACGTAACCCAACGTATGACAACCACTAGAATCGTTTGGCATCTAAAAAGTTGCGGCCGAGTCCATTGCACTATCATGGAATATTTATTCAATTTAAATTTACCAATTAACTTGGACTGGGTGGTTTCTGGCCCCGAGTGGTGGAGAAAAAAAATGGCCGTAAATGCTGACAACGTTTAGAGCGGAGTTCCCACCGCCGACGCTTCTGAATAATAAATGCATAATTCCTAGATGGAAAAGCGCGTGCCATAAATATTGCATGATAAATTATAGAAAAGCTATTAGGACAACAAACGACACGACCAGGGCCCAGGACTATAGGCTCCTTTGTTGAGTGTGGAAAAATAGGCGACCCATTAAACAGCGGAGGGGAATTGAGGAGGGGGAATCGTGGCGATGGGCGGAAACAACAAGTCCTTCTGTGTTTGACATTTTTCAAATGAGGTTAGCTCGACCAGTGACCGCCCATCTCGACTGCCTACGCCTACTTATTTATGTAAATTTGCGTAAATTACTATGAAAATATTTACGGTAAATAGAGCACTTGAAATTTTTATAATTTAAATGGGCAGGCGCAGGCTTTCCCTCGTCTGGGAAAGTCAATGTGTGGAACTTTCCTCGGTTACCACCAGCTGTGCACGTAGTTAGTTCACAGAAAACAGAAACAGAAAAAGAAGAAAGTTGCTGGGCCACAACTTTTGCATCTAACACGAAATGCAAACTGCTGGCATGGAAAGTAAAGCGAAGGATAAAGAAATACAGGAAGCGGAAGCCGAGCAAACAAGTGAGGACCAAAATGCCATTGACGAGGGAACATTTAAAAAAGTTTAAGAAACAAATAAGGTAGATACCCTTTTCTAAGAAGAGTATCTTAAAAACTGTGGAGTCATATGTTTTTAATTAAAAGTTAAGCCATTTCAAAATATGTCGTTTGTTGATGTTTACTTTGAATTTCACATAATAAAAGTTATATATTTACAAATATAAAGTGTTAAATTTTTTCCAAATATAAAAACATGCATATGATATTTTAGATATGTTGCTAAAAGTTATTAAGCTTTCTATAGAGCACGCCTTACGTCATCATATTTCTGTAGAAACTCTTCCTACATTTTTTTGCCCAATAAATGCCTAGCAAAAAAGTAATAAATATTATGTTTTTTTCTAAATGCCGTCTTTTATATTCATTTCATGCTACCCTCGAAAATCATCTTAGTTAGTATTTGTACACTTCAACTGAAATCAAATGCAAATGCTCGACATGTGTGCCTGGGTTGGAAATGGTCTTGTGTTTTCCCCTGGTGCCGGCGTATCAGTTAAATTAAATATTCTTGTCAACTGCAGTCAGCGAGTCAGGCTGGGAAGAAATGTTGCCTCGACAATTTCAAATATTTGCACCGCACTTTATAGATTTTAGGCTTTTAAATAATAAAATACAGTGCCAGAAGGGGGAAAGACTAAAACTGAGGCTGAGTGTTCTCCCAGGGCGAGAGGAAGGATGTTTCCGTCTTTGCAGCTTCGAAGGAGCAGAGTGTCTTCTTCTTTTTTTTTTTTTTTGATGGGAATGCTGAAAGAGCTCTTCAGTTCTAAGGAAGGGGAATTGTGCAAATGTGTGTCGGTGCTCTATAAAACATTTGCTCTTGAAGTACGTACTTAAATTGCATTTAAGCTGAGCAGTTGCTCGGCAAAGTAATGTACAAAGATCCCGGTCGGTTTGCTGCTGTTTCTGTTCTGTGCTAAGTTGTTAAATAAGTTGGCCGAAACGTGTGAATGAGTGTATAAAGATGTGTCGAATTTTCGTGAAGCAGCCAGAGACCAAGCGTTTGCAGAATTCAATCAAGAAATAAAAGCAAATAAAAAGAGGGCCTAAGAGAAATATTCTATATATATTTTAAATGAAAAGATTTAAAACATTTGATTGAAATCTTCATGCAGCTCTTAACTTTATTACAATTTATTTAATTTATATGTTTTTAGGAATCCCTGTTTTATGTTCCTTTAAATTTGTTTCATAGCAACAAAGCTTTTAATTAGGCACTGCTAAATATCACCAGCAGACTAGCCATTAATTTGAAAATATATGATATAAAAGCCATAAAATCGAAATCCATTCTGCTGATGGTATTTGTATAAATCACGTTATAATGACATTAACATAACACAAAGAAGTCAGGCAATGTGGCGCTTTTATTAACAATACCCTCCCAACAAAGCAAGATGATTTGATAGGGGCAAAAGCAATTAACCGGGAACCCAGCCCCTGAAACCAAATCCCCGATTCCGAGCCCAACCAACTGCATAACATTTACATTAGCCAGCCCAAAGGCATTAAGCGATAAAAACTGATGCGGTCATTAAAAAAATGGGAAGCCGAAGCATGTTTATTTAATTAACGGAAAGCGCCTACGGAAATAAAACTAAATGCCTTGTGTACATTAAAATTAACCAAGCAAGAGAATGATAAAAATAAGCATAGAATTATTTCGGGCGACAAACCCTTTCAGCTGCCATGGTAATGAAATATATGCCAACCAGAGGCCAAGACACAATTAGCTTTGGGTTCAATACAAAAGAACAAAGGCGAATTGTCCCCTCATCTTCGTCGGGGGGTAAAAGGTCCCCGGGGAGGGACCTACAACAATTTCTCGCATTACTTTCGCTAAATTAATACCGACTGCGGCTGGACAGCTACTGGACTGGCGTCGACCGGACTGGAACCGAAAAAAACATACAACAGAACAATTTTCCCATTTCTTGCATTAAGCGAACAGTGGATCGGTTGATTGTTATATAGCGTTTGGATTTGGATAGTAACTTATTAAAGAATTTGTGTTGTTATCAAAATATATGATTTCCAATGTTTTTCCTTTTTTAAGATGTATTTCATGGTTATTAAATTTCATACCTTACAAGATATAAAACTCATACGCAGAGTTGCCTACATTAAATATTTTATTACTCATACGCACAGTGGACTTTTTCTTTTTTTAAATAAGTAATTTGATATTTTTAATATATTTTCGACAAGATATATATTTGTTCTTAACTTCCATGGCCATTCCTGTCTGATTGCTATCCAAGAGGGCATCAACATTGGCCCACTGTGCGGCAATGCCCACTGTACAGCGAGTACTTTGCTTAAATTTCTTCTTTGGTTTATGCGGCGTCTGTCGCGTTGCGTGTGTCCTGTTCCTTTTCCCTGTGCAAGTGTCGTCGAATTAAAATTCATGGCGGCGCATTTAACTCGCTGGCCAAAAAAGCTGAAAAGTATAAAGAAACGAAACGCGCCCAAAACACGACTGACTCTTTTGGTCCGGTGTCCAAAGTCCGAAGTCCGGAGTCCAGGGCCAGAACCAAAAAGCCGCGTCCAGTTCGGCTTGCACATAATTTCTGTTA